AGAATCCTAAGCTTTCACTTGTTACTGAGAGTTCATAAGGAGCAATTAGAATGAGGCCTAAATCATGTTCCGAGAGGGATTCATTCCGTAATCTTTCGATTGGTTTTAAACCATCTAATCAATGAACTTTTTTTCTAAGTGAACATCCATATGTCTATACGGCGCAATACTCAACATAACATGCTTAAGATCATAAATCTCAAACAAACATTATGAACATATCATCAAACCAATACCAAAGAGAATACAAATTTTGTTAAGCACAATGAATTAAAGGCATAAGTCCTTTTAAAAATTTGTCACAAATCGTGGGTCATCAATGAAGGAAATGATTCAAAGAAGGCATAAACTCAAAACCTACACTAGATGCTTAATCATTAGAATCTTAACCATGCTCTAAGTGATCAATTAGAACATAAAAAAGAAGCCGTAGACTCAATGATTGATAATCCAAATTTCATGTCCAATCTATACATATCATAACTTTCATTAGTGATGTGTTAGATAACAAGCATTAAGAGCAAATCAAGAACCACCCAACATAAATTTCTCTTTAGATTCATCTCTAATATACTTTGAGCTCATTTTCATTGCAAATTTGTAAGTACGAGAAGTATTAAACACAAGAAAATCAATCCATGAAATCTCCAAGTGATTCACACTAGGTTCCTAAAATAAGGTCTAAGCAACCCAACTCAATAATAAAATCAAAGAAAATATTAAAAGAAAAAGAGATAAAGGTTTGAGAAACAAATACAAATAATGGGATGAAGAAAATCTTCAAATCTTCTAAATTGATGCACAAATCCTCCAAATCTCCATTTTTGGGGGTCTTATATGCCATGAATGCCTTCCCAAACAGTGTTTGCTCTCAACCCTAACCTCTTTTGTCTATCCCAAATGTTTCTCATAAAAAAATAGGAAAAATGAGGGGGCTATAGAGCAAAATCGCATATTGGTCACGGGCTGGGTCGGATCCTTATCAACCCTGGATCACGTATGATCAACATTACGTCCACTGGTCAACTTTAAGTCAATTGAAGACAATTTATTTGGCTAGAATGATATGTAGTCACTAATGTGAATTTCAAACCAATGACTTCAATTTAGCGCCAAATGAAACCTAACTCATTTTCGCATCTTGTGACCATATTTGAGTTTGGTATACCGACGATAAGACCGTCCTAGCATGATCTTTGAGATTGAGATGCATCTTGTTGACTCTTCATGGAAAAGAGTGTATTTTTTATTTTTTTTAAAGCTATACGTATCTCTTTTGATGCAAAACACTTCAAAATACCTAATTTAATACAAAAAGACCAAAATGAAGAAGAAAGACACTCTAGAATTCCTAAAATTAAACAAAACTCATTCGGATTCTAGATGCAACAAAAACACCATCCAAAGCAAAATAAACACAAGAAAATAATAAAATTATGAGACTTATAGTGGTAAAATATATGATTTATCAGCAATCTTTGTAAAACACTGACCGAACTCACCCATGTTCTATCCAAGATAATGT